CAGTCATGTGACTGGTAACGTGGACTTCACTAAATCAGCACTATTAGAGACCACATCCACCACCACACCTCATACACTGAAGAGATAAGATTACAACCAGTAAATATTATAAATGGCCAAAAAATTATTAGGCAGAAAACTGGAAAGACAAATCTGAAGGGAGAGGATGAATCTAGGAGAGCAGGATTTCAGCCCTATTCAGCTAAGGTCCCCTTTGCCAAATTTTGTTATGGATTTTTCATAACCCAAGTATTCAGACATGTTATTCAGCCCTGAGCTGTGTTTTCTTATGAATAAAATATTGCTTTAACTGGTCCTATCTTTTCTCTGATCTTAAACAATGGTTTAAGAATTCCATTAGGAAATGCTTCCCTATCACTGTCTTCAAATCCCAGAGTAAGCAGAGAAAATCGCGCCCCCCCCCAACCAGCCCTGCATCTGTGCTTACCAGGAGCCCAGAGCAACCATCATCTGTGCAAAGAACTGATACTGCATTAAAAAATTAAGTCCACAGTTTGATGCAGGCTTCGGTTTCTGTGATGTTATTAGGATGAAGGGGAAGGGTTGTGTGTGTTCCACATTAGCGAAGAGCAGCAGAAAGAATTCACAGATGGACCTGCAGGTTTGGTAGGACAGTCTTGTTAGGCATTATTTCCTCATACTTTAAAGAGATGATTGTTCCAAGTGGAAATAATGGAGTGGTATAAATTTCCAAGATATAAATATGATGGTCTTAAAATTTGCTTGAAATTGTGAGTTATAACCAGTCACTCACAGGCAGCTCTTAATCTCCCCAGATAATTTGATTTTCTGATGTAGTAGCTGCTTTGCAGAATATATCGGATAGCCAGGACCAGCAAATAGCAACTCCTGCTCCTCCTAAGTCTTGTGCTCTGTCTTCCATTTGAGGTTATTCCTGTTGGTAACAGGAAATAATATAAAAATCCATTTTTTTCTGTCAAAATATGATTGCATATTGATCTGATTTATTATCTAAGTACATTGGTGGCTACGAGAAGCCATCGTCTGAAGAAAGGGAGAAGGCTCAAAAGCCCAGACCCAGGCCAATCAATGACTCAGCTGTGTTTGGTACAGTCCTGGTGCAGTGGCCCACACCTGTAATCCCAGCAACTGGGGAGGTGGAGGCAGGAGGATACCAAGTTCAAGGCCAGCCTCAACAACTTAGTGAGACCCTGTCTCAAAATTTATTTTTTTTAAAAAAGGGCTGAGGATGCAGCTTAGTGGCAGGACACATCCTTTGCTTGCATGAGGCCCTGAGTTTGATCCCAGTACAGCAACAACAGCAACAGTGAGAGAGCCCTTGGTACAATTGAATGGGCTCCACTCTTGTAAAGATAAAAGAGTATGTTTTTACTAATTTATAATCACTTTGGCAGGAAATAGGAGACCCAAAGTAGTTAGAAATAGTGATTGCTTATCAATTGCTTAACTGAGGATTATTTTATATCCTAATGGAACTAAACCTAACTCAGCTTAGTCCCCATATGCTTGTGATTTCTTATTCTCTCATTAGCTGGCAGAAATTATTGCTTTTATTAAACGCTGAGGAATAATGCATCAATTCTCAATTCTGTGTATGGTGACCACTGGACGATTGAACACTGCAGCTATAACTTACCAGCTTTGCTACCAGGTGGCTTCTTGAAACATGAACTTGGGTGTTCTTGGAGATCTCTGCTGCATTTCCTGGCTTGTTTCACTTGGGACTTAGAGACCCAGTTTAATTACCCATTTTTCTCTGATGAAAGATGAAAGCTTGTATAAGAAAAGACTTCAAATGATAAATGAAAAATCACTAATCACCCAAGAAATACTCATGCAGACATAATCTACAGAATTCCCCCTTGACTCACAATGAAGTACAAAACTTTGTGTATTAAATAGAAGAGTAAAAAAACAAAACAGTGTTTGATTAAAATAGCAGTCAACCATGTATCTCGATGGCTACAGACACAATCTTCAAAACACTTTATGCAAATAATTAGTAAGAGTCAGTAGCAATATAATAATTCATAATAAAAAACTGATTCTATTCTTAGAAATATCAAAATGAGTCTCTTAACTTAGATGCTCTATAGCTAAATTAATTCAAAATTATTTCCACTAATTTTACCTTTTTGCAATATGAAAATGTAAAAATAGATGACCGACTAATAAAAAAACTATGCCTTTTTTTTTTCTTAACTTATGCCCTAGTTTAGATACATATCCATTACACTCTCTTATCCAGTTTCTATTTATAAAACCAAAGTTGACATTCACAAAGACTGACCCTGGATCACTGTTGAGTATTGAATCATCAGAAACAAACTTATATTCTCTAAGATGTATAATGACGTTGCCTGAAAAAATTAACTAAAGATTTCAATTTAAAAAAATTTTTTTGATCTTACTTTTTTCCTTTTTCACCAGAGCTACTTATGAAAGCTAGGACATCAAACTCAGTACTAAGAGACTTGAGCCAAACAGCCATCCTCCATCAAATCTATCAAACCCTAAGTCCTCCCCAGGGGGAACAACATCCAATTTGTTTAGCTCTTTAATTTTTTTCAATATTTAGTTATGCTCATGGAGCTGATTTTTAAAGTGTAATTAACATTATTTTCATTTGTTGAAGATTTACCTCTTTTAGTACCACCCCGTGCCACATCCATGTTCCTCTCCTCACAAACAAGGTATAGCATGGTTTAAAATCAATTCCTCATCTCTTTCTTTATATTATGTAAGCAATCCTCCTTCCCTGTGTCTCCGGTTCTGCTGTGTCCAAATCTTCCCCTTGGCATCAATAGACTGAAAAAACGTGCTTGACTCCTACTTTCAACCAGGCGTCCTCACTGGTGGGAGGCCCTTTGAGAAATGAATCATGAGGCAAGTCTGGGTGTGGACACCACAGAGCACACTTAACAACTGCAGTGTGACAGAGTACAACTCTCGGGACCACGCAGGCCTGGGTCCTTCCTCAACCTACACGTCATGGCATGCATGGCATGGCAGCGATTGTGGAAAGTGCTTTCTAACTCCTGTGACATCAGCACAAAGGACCTGGGGATCCTTCTTCCAGACATTCACTCATCTCCTAACCGGCTGGTTCCACAGGCTTTTCACCCACCTGTTGCTCTTTCCACCAGGGCCATGCTGTTTTCAATACCAGGACTTAGAGGAAGCGCTGAAGTTGTAGCACTTTGTCTCACATGTTAACATATTCTGGAATCTCTGCTTCCTCACAAGGATTTAATCTATTGGTATCATTAATATTCTCTGCTAGGATTTTGATTAGGATCGCATTCCATCAATAGATCAAGCTGGGAACAACTGACAGACACATTGACAACATTGCATCTTCTTATTCATGAACGAGGACTGTCTTTTTGTACTGAATCCTTTTATTTCTTTCATCAGAATTTCATCAGTTTTCCTCATAGAGGTTTTGCACTTATTTTGTCAGATCTGTACCTAAGTATTTCATTTGGGGGAGGGGCTAAGTTAAAAGGTCTTATGCTTTTAATTTCAAATTTCATTTGTTCTTTTCTTGTATACTGGTAACCTGTTGACTTTGGCGTGTGAACTTTATATCCTGTAACCTTGTAATAAACACATATCTTGTTCCAGGAGGGTATTTTTTTTTCTACATAGATGATCATGTCATCTCTGAACAAAGATGTTGTGTTACTGCATTGGTAATGCAATTAGCCAAGAAAAGAAAATAAACAGTGCACAGATTAGGAAAGAAGAGGTAAAACTGTCTTTGTTCACAGGTAATCAAATTTATTTAACCTATCTTGGTTGGCTGAATTTTTAATCCCGAATGGGTAGAGGATTTTGTCAAATGCCGTTTCTGCACCTGTTCATATAACCATGTGTCCTTTCTTCTTTAGCTGGTTGGCTGTGATGGATTCTTGATTTTTGTATGCTGATCTAGTTTAGCATGCCTGAATAAATCCCAGTATTGTGGCATATATTTTTTTACACATTGTTGCAGATTACTTGCTAATATTTTACATGTAGATTCATGAGGAATATTTATCAGTATTTTTCTTCTCTTATAATATCTTTGTCTTGTTTTCATATTTAGTAATGCTGGCTTCATAGATAGGTAAGAAAGAATTCTTTCTGCTTCTAGCTTCTAGAGGAGATTGTAGAGAACTTGTATAATATTTGGTATTTTTCATTAGTAAATGTGTCTGAGTCTGACGCTTTCTGTTTTGGGAGATTTTTAATTATTGATTCAATTGCTAATTGCTATAGACTTTCAAATTGTGTAATCTAATTTTTATAATATTCTTCTGAATATATTATTATGCTGTTTTCATTATCTTTATGCAGTTATTTTAAAATAACTTATTTGAAGATTTTATTTTCATTTAAAAATGGGCATTAGTATTTTAACAACTCATTAAAGTACAAAATATGTATGCATGGTCTACTTAATTTCTTTTTTAAAATTTTTTTAGGTGTAAATGGACACAATGCCTTTATTTTATTTGTTTATATATATGTGGTGCTGAGGATTGAACCCAGGACCTCACATGTGCAAGGCAAGTATTTTACCACTGAGCCACAACCCCAGTTCCTACTTAATTTCTTACATAATACTGTATTCATAAATATCTGTTGGATACATCAATGGAAACTAAATGAAGATGTATGCCTATGATAAACATCTCATTTTGAATTTTCCTTATCATAAACTGTTAGGGTCTGTAAACAAGTCAGGATGGCGCCTGGCATTTTGCCAGAGGGAGTGGTTTGTGAAGTAACGCCAGCGAGCCATTAAGTGTGGAGATTCCTTATTGGTTGACTGCTGTTTCTAGTTTATGTTAATTAAGATAAGCTGTGTGGAATGTATATATACCCCTCCTGTCCTACAATAAACGGCTCCCACTCCTGCTGTATCAATCTACACAAGTTTCTTGTCACCCTCCGGTTATTTTGCTGAAGCCGGACTGCGGCGATAAACTTTTCTTATTGGCATTAAAAACTCCATAAATTCTATTTATTTATTTATTTGTTCTAACACAGGATAGCAGAATGCAGTTTGATTCATGGTACACAAATGGAGCACAGTTTTTTAATGCTCTGGTTGGACATGAAGTAGAGTCCATGATCCATCACACATGTAAATTCCATACATTATCAGGGAAGCGGTAGGATAAGTCCATGCAGAAGCTGCAGTTCCACACTCAGAGCCTTTTTCCCACTCATTCCCATGGTGATGGGGGCAGTGAGAGAGTTGCCATGTAGCATGTGAAGGAACGCAAGCCATCTGATGCTGGGCCCACTGCCTCCTCTTCTTCCTCACGCTGGAGGGTTCCCAGAGATGCGGACTGTTAAGCAGAATGTTTCACATCAGACAAGGCCGGAGAAGTATTTGAGCACTTAAAAAGAAGCAATCTCAGGAAAGTGAGAGCTTTGAATATTATGGGGAAGTCAAAACATATAAATGAAGATCTTAGTATACTTGAATATAGAATATCAGCTGTGAATAAGCATATATATATTCTTTCAATGTGTCAGATATTTTATTTTGGAGGATGAATTAAGTTGAAAAGACAAAAAGTATAACGATGATGATAAATAGCATGAAGAAAGATGGAAAGGCCAGAAGCCTACAGGATTCGTGGGGAAGAGATTATGATATCTTGACAGAAGGGTAAGGCATGGAAAGGGAGTCTTGGGGCTGTTAGAAAGAGCCTTGAAAACATTTTAATGAAATAGGGACAAAAAAATCTAAGAAAGAATGAAAAATGTATCTGTTGTATACAGGTTCACATTATCTGTTTTCTTATTTTTATTGAAAGAAATAATCTGTAACAGAACAATCTAGATTCCACGTCATTAAGTATTCATGCAGTGAATAGTCATAACAAGAACTCAGGGAACACTTTCATCACAGACGTGACATAAGTTCATAGCTGACTGACCATAGAGTCTCAAATAACCTCCACAGCTTTGTTCCAAATCAGAGATTTTAAAACAACACTCCCTTAAATTTGTGTAGTCTTGTTTTTCCAATTAGCTGAAGGTGGAAGTCCATTATACCATTCTCAAAATTATTCAAGAGATGAGTAGATATAGAAATTAATACTCTCCATTACAGCCAAAGGAGGCTGCATCAGGAGGCTGAGTGCTCTTTGCTAGGCTGATGGAAGCCATGCTGGAATCCAGGCCTGAGTCTACCTTCTATAACCTTATGGTATCGGTGAGCCAAGGGTTTAGAGTTCTAGATAATATCTGTTCTATCATTCCTGCAAAATAACCTAAATTTATATTAAAATACCTTATCTTGTTAACTCCCTGTATTTAACCTAATAATTTCATAGGAGAAAAGATCTGAGATTTATGAACTATACTGAGAAATTAAATTGCTGAGTTTAGAGAAGCAAAGTTTAAGGGTCGCTGGGTAAGAACGGGAATTATTAGGTCATCTTTGGCATACTCTCTTCCACTGTGGATAAAGGGAGGCTTTAATCATTTTCAGAGTTTTACACTAACTAGGAAGTCCTGATTTTTTTAACCACCATAAATCACAAAAATACATACTATAGACATTCCATTACTGAGAAGGAGCAAGCTTCCACATGCAGAGCGCTGAGGTGCTGACACTCAGTTGGAACAGACACACGGTCACTGCATCTGAGGTGGCTCTGCGCTCCCCAGGAAGGACAAGGGCCCAACCAGCTGAGCATCCCCTCCTAGTCTCCTTAAGGAAGTCACATGAGTGACACTCACCCCTTCAGTCTCTTGAGCCTGATGGATCCCCTTCATGTAAAATCTAGAATTTAGCAAAGGAAGTCCCATTTGTGTCTTAAGGTTTATTTTCCATATGTAATATTTTGTCCTTATGTATTCACTGTCATAAATGGCACTTGGAAATACTACTTACGCATTTTCTACTCGGCCCCTAACCAACAATTTGCATGGCTTTGAAAATCAATGTCTTACATTTTCTTTGCCCTCCACTCCCTCTCCCTCCTCGCCTATGATGTGGTTTCCCCATCTTTTCTGTAATGTGGTTCCCCCACTTGGCATGTCCTCCTTCCTCCCTCCCTCACTTATAGACTTCCCCATTTCTATTCTCCCAGGAGGACCTATCCCCATGATCAGGACTTTGGGATTCTTTCTTTCCCTTTTCATGATACCCGATAAGTTCTCCTTTAAATCTCCATCTTGTCTGCCCCTCCCAGGGCCCTTCCTGAGCCTCTTCCAGCTAATCTCAACCATCTGGGCCCAAACCTCTGGCTACAATGCATCCCATTATTAGGAGGTACTTCATCCTCAGATGCTTCTTTTGGAGAGACGCCATGTTTTCCTACCCTGGTTTAAATTAGGACTTTGGGGGTTCTTGCAGAACTTGCTGCACAACGTCTTCATTTTGCTCCAGTTTTATTTCTTGTAGTCCCTTGATGAGTTTTTTCATATCCTCCTCCTCAAACTTAACAGCTTCTAATTTGTGTATATTGATTTACTTCCACATTTCCTTGTACTTGTTTTATCTTCCTTTGTCTAAATGCCTTTATTTTCCCTTATATTCTCTGCTTTCCATTTCTATAGACCCCAAATATTCAGCAGAAAAGTACCTTTTCATTATTCCTAAAGGTTTAATTATAAAAAATGTAAAGTGCTGTGGACTTCATTCAGTAAAATGCACTAAATATTTGCTCTTATTTTTGTAATAGTTGTAAATAACTGCTACACCCTTAATCATTTAGCTTTGCTTATATTCAAGAACAACTATTTATAATTTCTCATCATGCCCACTTTCCTGTACCTGATTTCTAATTTGTCTTTTGATCTTCTTTGCATTTTCCATATAAATAAGAGTTTTGCTCTTCTTTTTGGTTTAATGGCTCTTCTTACCATTTCTTGCATAGGTTAGTGATTCTTTTTTAAATACCTGTTCCTTCCCCCCCCTTTATCATTTGTCTTTTTAAAGAAATTCAGAATAAATATCTTTTGCTTTTATAACTTACATACTAATTCTTTTGATTTTTCTAAACTTAACCTAGTTCCACATTTAAATGCTACGTATGCATACTATCTGCCACATCTATTCGTTTCTAAAAACTTCTGAGCAGGGAAGGTTGAGACATAAAGTTTTTGGAGTAACTTAAAAGGTAAGAACTTAGTCTATGTATTAGAAAGACAATCATGGCTTATCTGATTCAAATTCATAATGTAAACTTCACTGATACACTGTGGTGTGTCTTACAGAAATCTAGCCCCCTTATCCCTTTATATGTCTTTTTTGTGTACATTTCAAATCAAGCTGTCATTCCTTCCTAGCAGTAAGGCCATTAGACTATGGTTTTCCTTTGTCCTATTGGTATTAAGAAAATGTAAGATCTATACATAAATTGGCAAGAAGGTAGGGTGCAGCCATATGTGAGCCCAATCCATAACAGATACATAAGCATGAGTGCACAGTAATTGTCTAGAAGGCACTCTCTGGATGAGTGGAGGTCTGGCTGTGGCAGGGTCTGGAGTCTTGCCTGTGTCTTCCCGTATTTAAGTGCCTGCACAGGTATGGGTGCCTGTGTGCATGCAGGTGTGACTTACCTGTAGTGGTTATGATCTTCCCACCCTAACCCTGTTCTTGAGTAACCAGCTGAGTCACTGTTATTAGGAATGAGATTCACTTCTGACATGATGAGTGAACTTATTTTTATCCTACTGATCCCATAGCAGTTTCCTATCAGCTAACAATAAAGGAAAGAAGTCAGTCGGGACAGTCTACAAAGGACCCCGGGATTCTTTCTTTCCCTTCCCCTTCGAGCCTGCACCTTTTTCCTGAGCTCATCTGGAGCTGATGCCATTTGCTGGGAACACTCTCCTCCCTGAAAACACCATTGTTCCTGCAGGGTGAAGTCAGCTGGCGATATTCCTCTTAGTGAAGAGTCATCTCCCCTTCCTTTTTGATCCTGCTTCCTTTTATAACACACACACACACACACACACACACACGTGCACACATGATGTGTGTGGTTTTCATTTCAGGGTGCTAGAGTCAGTCTTCAGAGGCATGAATCAAGAGGCATAAGTCAATCATTACCCGAGGAACAGACCTTGGGTACTGCAATCACACAGAATCAATGTCATCCTGAGCCTTTACGTTCTGCTTTGTCCACACCTGTAGGAGGTTTAACGGTCCTTAAAGGGTCCTTGGATCACAGACTTCCCTTGTACCACCCACTCCTGCCACCTCCCTTTTTTTCTTGGCCCCCCCTCATTGCCCAATATTACCCCCCATTTCCTCATGTACCTCTTCATCTGAAACTGCACTGTATTCTGCTCATACCAATCTCCTCGATAGCCTTTTCCACTTCATTTATTAAATACTGCTTACTTACGTCTTCAGGATGCCATAGAATTCTCTCCTATCTCCTCCCATGAGAAACAAGAAATGGCTTTCCTTCTTTTCTCATGCATTTTTTTTCCTTCTCTTCTCGTCCCTCACACGCTTCTGGCCAAAATAACCTTTTCTGAGGTAGGGGAGCTCCTTCCTCTCCTGGAGCCCAGCTGACCTACAGGCCTGTCCTGCACTGTGTCTCCCCCCAGCCCTCCACTGGCCTTTCCCCTCCGTGTCTAAGTCCCCACCGCTCCAGCCCACCTGCTCTGGACACACTACTCTGGACCTTTCCCTTCCCCTCTGAGCTTGCATCTTTTTCCTGAGCTCATCTGGAGCAGACCTCAACAGCTTGCTTCTTTCATTTCCCACTTCATTGATTATAATTTGCTCTTGGTGGATATGATAATGGTGACCTTCTTTCAGCACAATTATGTATAATTTTTGCTTTCCTTGTAAACCAGTTTATCTTCGCACATCTCTGAGGTCCCTGTGTTGGTAACAGCCTTTGCCTATCTCTAAACAGAAACGATTTGGGCAGAAGTAAGCTAGCTTCCCCTGGCCACTGCCATCCTTCCTGCACAGGTTTCCAAGTGCAAACCCCTGTGCTGGCCTGGTTGTTAGCAATGCCATGGTACCTTCTTGGAGCACACAGTGTCTCTCACAGCCACATTTTGTTCCTGAGCAGGAGGAGCAGACCTTGGGTAATGCAATCACACAGTTTTCCAGTCTCGCTTCCCACTTTGTCCTGAGTCATTCATTCTCTAAACCAAATTCAATTACTCTGCTGATCTAAAACTCATGTCAAACTCCATATTTCCAGGGACTAAAATTACTGTACATATGTCCCTGGGGTTCCACCCAACCAAATTAATAATTAGGGTCCCAATAGCATTACATGCCCCAGCACTGGTTTCTGTGACGGAAGCAAAACCTCGTAACTTATCCTTGATTGAAGGGAATCTTCCATTTACCTAGAGG